GCGGGGGTGCAGACGCCGGCCGAGGCCACGCCGGGCTCACGCAGGAGGTGTGCAGTGGCCTGCGCCACGGGAGACGGGCCGGGCCACCCCCTTCCTGACACACAGCCCCCCCACCCCACATCTCACCGGCACCCACTGCCAGCTCAACCTCCAGACCAGCCTCCGACACCCCCACCCAACACCAGCACCACCCAGATGGGCCACAGACACTCGCCTGCCTCCCACAGGGCACCCCAGCCAGGGCACCCCAGACAGAGCACCTCAGACATGCTGCGAGCCAGCCAGGGGGCCCCAGATGCACCACACCCCCAGAAATGCTGTGCCCCCAGACACATCCCAGAAATGTTGCACCCCAACACGCCACATACCCCAGACACATCACAGCCTCACAGACACACAGTCCACAGAAGCCCTGCGGACACGTCCCTGCGACCCCCCAGAAACAGTCACAGCCATGCCCCACAAAACCCACACGCACCTCACACAGATCCCCGCAGACACCCGCAAACACGCGCACCCCAGACTCGTCCTCACCGCCGGCCCGGTGCACCCACACTCTCATCTGCACACCCCACCTGCCGCCTTTGCCCCCGCAGCCCATTCACCCCTAGGCCTCCCCACACTTCGGGGATAAAACTCGGTCACTTGAGCTTCATCCAAGACACCCCTCACGGCCCGTCTGCCGCTCCCGGGGCGACGCCTCGGGCCCCAGCCCGGCGCCCCGGCTGTGGGGGTCACGGGAGCCGCTTTGGTCTCCGAGGTGGCCACGCCTTCGCGCCTGGGTGTCCTGGCACACCCACGGCTGCCACAGCCCCGTGTCAGACGCACCCCGCCCGCCCCAGCTCACGTGCCAGCCCCCCCTCGGCCAGATCCCCTTACACCCTTTGCTCCCGCCTGGGCCCCAAGGTGGGGCCGAGCAGCTGGGCCGCTCATGCCCAGCTCCCCGACCCCCACCTCGCCCCAGCCCACCAGCTGGGAGCGCCTGGCCAAGCGCCTAACGGACCCCAAACCCCACCTGCCCCGGCCTGGGGGGTGAGGCGGGCCTTCTCCCCCAGCGCAGCGCCCTCCTGGCCCCTCCCCTCGCCCCAGCGCCCCTAGGCCCACCCCGGACAGCCGCTGCCCACGCTCGCCCTGGTGGGCTGGAGGCGGGCGCCGCGTACCGCAGAGGCGGGCCCCGGCTCTGGCCCGGGCCGGGGTCCGGGCAGGGCCCTTCCGGGGCTGCGTCTTCCTCTGGGGCCTGCAGTGGCTGGAGCTCCTCGGGCCGCAGGGCCTGGTACCAGGGTGGGGGGCCGCCTTCGGGGGTCAGCACAGGGCTGGCCGCCTCCTGGTCAGCTCTGCAGGCCCCTCGGACCCCCGGCCTCGCCACGGCCCCCGGGAGCTGCAAGAGCCGCTGCATGGGGCACCAAGTCCTCTCCGGAGGGGCCGGCGCTGACCAGGGCCTGGACGCCTGTCCACCGCCAGGGCCCGCCCACCTGGAAACCGGACACTGGCAGGGAGGGGAGCTCTGGTTTCCTCCTGGCTGCAGGGCTGGAGGGGGAGGGCAGGGCTGGGGACCCAGCCAACCCCAGCCTCAGGCAGGAGCCGCCGGGGAGGGGGAGGCCCCAGACTCCCCAGACGGTTCCCCCACAGCCTGGGGGGCCCTGGAGCCCCAGCCTTCCTGGGCGCCTGCCCCCTGCATCTTCTCAGGCCCCAGGCCCCCCGCTCTCTCCCCCTCCTCCCCAGGGCAGCCGGCGGGGCTTTAGCACCTCCTGCGGCCCCCAGCTGCGCTACCAGCTTCTCACAGACAGTTGAGGGGCCCCTCGCCGGCCCCCGCCCACAGCTGCGCCCCCACACTCGGGCGGTGCTCCCCTCAGCCGCTCTCCATCTCCCCATTCCCCCGGGGTTACGCTGGCCCTCTGAGCCCCCTAACACACGAGAGCGACAGCTGCCCGCAGCCTCCCTGCACCCCGTTCTCCAGGGTGGCCCCCCTTCAGTCAAACTTCTTGGAAGCAACATCCCCTTTGCCGAGTCCTTTATTCACCTCCGGCCCACGGTGCTCTGCAGCTGATCAGAGGCCGCCGCAGGGGCTGGGCCCCACGCCTGGGGCCAGTGCGGCTGGGGGCCAGTGTGGCTGGGG